TAACTAAAGGTCCTGTAAAGAATTATTTAATTTGCCAACTGCAATCAGCAAATTCCTGTAATACATATTCCACAACTCCATTTTAAACATGCACAAGCTCTGCCATAATTTTATAGCCCTGAATTCGGTTTTATACCATCAAGATTGTTTCTCAATTAAATGTGCCGTGTAATGAAAAAATATTTCGGAAGCCAATCTGCAACCCGACACATCGTAAAACCCACTTGTGAAGTTATTTTTCATATCTCCATTGGAATCTCTATCAAATCCCTTCCCCTCCTCCTGAAAATCAAAAACCCAGTCAAAACGAACTCACATACTCGTACACTCCTAATCCATATTCCATCAAATTCCCTTTTAATACAGCAAGCTCGGGAGTAAAATATAAACAATTTACAGCCACTTGCTAAGGTGAAATTTATTCAGAGTCCCATTCAATCGCGATGCCACTAAGCTCACACGCTGCTTGCCGCTTTTCCTCCCCTTTTTCCGGGCGATGGGAATGGGAGTGGGTTTTCCTCTTTTCCGAGCGATTTACGAGTCTGGCCTGGGTTCTATTTTATCCCGGGGCATCCCCTGCATTTTACAACATTTGTATTTATTTGGCGTCATGAGTTTAAGATGTTGTTGATATATGTTTACCGTTGGGTGACACACACACACACCGACACACGCCGACACTCGCGGCAAGTGGCAACTGCTGCAGCTACACATAAGTAAATTAGGATTTATGCTTTGTTCTATTTGAGCGCTGCAAAGCCATAAACGATTTTTTATGCACAGTCACTTGGTTTTGGCGCGGAATGGTGGAGCAGTTCAGCAGTTCGCACCTTGCCGAATACGATTTACGACTTTCAGCATGTGAGAACGTAAAATTGTTATAAATTTGCATGTGCAGAATGCGAAAGAAGCAGGCGGCAACCCCGTCTTACCACTCTAAGAAATAACGCCTCAAATCGCACTTAAATTTAGTGATTTGCCATAAAACTAACGTCAATCAAATTTATCTAGAGTTCTTTGAAATTCACAAGGCATTGCAAAGAGTTGTGCTGTTAATTCAACTATTTTTGGCCATAATAAGCAATTGGCAAACCAAAATAATTATTACGGTAATTTACATTTCCTTAACGCTTAATCTTCGTACTAATTATATTTAAGTACTGTTTATAACTCACTTTTCTAACCTACTTACTATATATAAAAAAGATTTCTACGCAATTGTCTGCCTTTTAAATTTACATATAGTACAACATATTTTTTTGGAGTGCCTGAAAATGAACAGCTTCTTTGGCGAAGAGGAGGCAATAAACCCAACTTACGGCCAAGATCAATCGCAGCGGCTTGAGCCAGTTAATGGCACATGAAACAGAACAACAGAGGCACTCTGCGAATCGCCAGGACGAAGCGTCCAAGTGAGCGTAATTAATGCGCTCAAATTTATCAAGCTGCATTAGGGCAATGAATGAAACCTGTAACTCATTTTGTCACCGAAAGTAAACAACGTAGTACAATGCGATGTAAACTGTTGCTAAGCCATCGCGTGTGTGCATATGTCTGAAAGTTTTCCTTGTTTTCCCCGGCCAAATTTGCTTACTTTTTGCCCCGTGACCCACATGACTGACACTCCGCGATGACGCAAATCTTAAAGCCGATAAGGCCCCCGAAAAAAGAAGAAAAAAAAAACTAAGCTGAACTGAACAGTAGTATAAGATGTTGTCGGCAGATAGTCCCCACTGGATTAATGCTGCCATAATTCCACGGGCGGCCTTAGGCGGCTACGACAGAGCCTCGCGTGGAGTGGAGTTCATTTAATATATCCGATAAAAGTATTTGCAATAAATCCTGTAAAAGCTAATGATTAATTGCTCTGTAGCTTTTAACGTCAACGCGGAATACTAGAGGCACGGATTGTGTGTCAGACGCTGGTGGCAGCAACAACAATGGGCCAAAGCCAAAAGTGCCAGCGACTTTGGCCAACGTGGCGTATGAGTAATTCGACTTTGACGCCGCTGCGCCGCGCGTGGTTTTGCCTACAGCCACAGCCACAGCCCTACACACACACCCATCCAGACCCTCTTACTCTTCCCAGGACTCCCACACACACACACGCATACACACACAGACACACACTGTGGAACATTTGTCTCCTTTGTTAGTGTATGTTTCATGTTTTGCGTTATTGTCGCTTCAAGTAAAAACACAAAAATATTTATTTCAAATGAGTCCTGTGTACAACTGGGGACTGCGGAAACTGGTAAACAGAATGCTTTCTCTGCCCAGCCCCAAATGGCCACGCCCCCAAACGCCCATCGGGAGATACCCTGTAATGAAGATAAGGGAATGACCAAATGTATTGATAAGCTATCAGAAAGTATTTTAACTTTTTATCAAGAGTATTCTTACCAATTTTAGGGGTGTAAGAAAAACCTCTGTTGAATTTAAATTAAATATATTATTGAAGTACTAAACATTTTTTTTAAATGCACAAGAAGCCACATAGAATAAAAAAAATATTTGTAGACTTTATTAAAGTAGAATAACCACTGTTTTTATTTCAAAAAACCTACTTATTTTGGGTAGCCCGAATTCGTAGCCCAATGTCATTATATCTCCTTACTTTTTTTGGAATTCTTTTTTGTTTTTGGTGGGTGGCGAAAGTAACTTTCAGGGGGTTGGTTGGGCTGCCTCTGTCGCTCGCTGGCGCCTTTTCCTGTGGCAGGGGAAAGACAGCATTTGCCATAAATTGTGAAAGTGTCAACGAAAGGCAAAAATACACACACACACACCACGAGCCAAGGACACATACAGATGCAGATGGAGGCACACGCACGCACGCACAGAGGGAAAAAACAATGCTAACGACATACAAACAAACAAATCTATACTCATTTCGACTACTGTACCTTGGAGTGGGGAAGCAACACGCACGCATATTTATTTTGAACACATCTTTTTTCGGCCAGCTCTACAAATGCGTTATATAAATACGCCACTGAGGATATATGCGAGGGTATATGTGTGTGTATGGGTCTATAGATTGCCTTTTACATACTCACGCATATTGTTCTAATCAGTGACGATGTCCTGGCCTCCTTGGAATGTCAATTTTTTGTTGCCTAATTTATTTGGCCAGCCCAAACCAATGCGAAACCACCCCGAAAAGGGGGAGTTACTTTTGACACCCCACACACCCCACAGAACCGCTTCAGCTGATTATTGTCATGGTCGAAACCGAAACCCGTAGGGTTCTCCAGATCTCAGATTTTTCTTCCCCCAAAAAGCGGAAGGGGAACTTTGCATAAGCTCCTGCCGCTGACATCTTATGGAAGATGGATAGTTCTGTGGCGTGGTCAGGTACAATCGATAGCCGGCATATTTATGGTGGCCACGTGACCTTTCGCTGACCGCTGACTACTGGGAATGGGAGTCAGCCCACCGCCCCCCGCTCAACCGCAGGGAAAGCGAGATGGGGAAACTCTTTTCTTAAGCCTGACAGATTTAAATCCTCCGAAGGCTACCCAAAATAATTAATCTCCTTAATTGAATACATGCGATTATGAATCAGCAGCGGGGACAAGCACTTACCACAATTACTGCATTAATTTCCGCCACTTGTCGAGTCGCCCGAAGGCTTTGGGCTTGGGTTTTCCTTCGCTTTTCTTTTGCTTCCTTGCTTTTCCTTTTGGGGGTTGTACACTGTATACATTATAATCATAAGGAGCTGCCGAGCATCTGGCCGGGGGCGTTGGTCCAGTGTTCCACTAAATTGGACACATCTGCACAGTTTTTCGCCCCCCAGAAAATCCCTCCCCCCTGTTGGCAGCGTGTCAATCTTGCGAGTCAAATGGCGGCACGCATGGCAAAGTTTTTCCAGCCATCAGAGCTGGCTCCGAGCTCAAATCCCCGCACGTTTCCGCACTTCCACAGTTCTACAATTCAACAATCCTACATTTCCCATTTCCACATTGCCGGGAGTCTGGCGCATTTGCATTTGGCTCCGTACACAATTTGTATGCTTAAGTAAGCCGACTGCGTGCATGTTTCTAATGGGCGGCACAAAAGGTTAGGTTACCTGATGCTGAACACGGAAAAAACACGCTGGAAAAGCGGCTTTCCCGCCCGCCTCCCCCTCCCCTTTCCCCGCCTGCTCTTGCAGGAACTGAAAACTCATTTCGCCTCGGGCGTGACTTTTATAGCACTTTGTTTCCGAGTAGCTGCAGCTATACAGAAAACCAGAAGCCGAAAAAAACCTTTAAAAGAGTGAAAAACTTTCGATAGCTAAAGGTTTGAATACCCTTGTTTGCCTATTGTTGTTATGACAGCTAAAACGGTGAGAAGACTAACAAAACAAGTTTCTCACCTTTACGATAGTTGTCTTAAATGTTTTATAAAATGTACACTGGCGTTTCATAATAAATATAAGTTTTAAAAACCAGCTGGGAAAATTTACCTAATTGTAGTAAATATTTATAATACAAAGATTTTTCTGCCGAAGTTTTATTTTCAATACATTTTAGGAATCTTCATAAAAGTTTCACAAATTTTCATAAGCACTTTTATATCGCCTCTTGTTAAACACGTAGAACGATCGTTATCACATCCACTATGTAAATGTTCAAGTGACTTCCTTGTAATATTTTTCAAGATTTAATTAAGATAAAGTTTATGGAGTAAGTAAATTAAAGCAAAAGTTTTACTCAAAAGGAAGTTTCTATTAGAAACTCGTCGTCAACTTTTTGTTTCAACGCCATTTTAAGGATGCCCTTTGTTAAGCATCCGAAAAACAAAGAGTGTATGACAAATGAAGGAGCCGCAATAAAAAAAAACCGACCTCAAGCATACGAAAAAGTTTTCAATGAAACCGGGGAAACAAAAACCCGTAGACCTTTAAAATGACGAACTCGAGCAATTAACCTCTGTCAGGGTATACAAATGCGAAAAATGGATTTTTGCGGGCGCCACAAAACGCATTCGAAACTTTTGCCTTGGCAATTGCGAAAATGCCAAAATGCGAAACACATTTTGGGTTCAACTCGCTGATGGTGATGGTGATTGTTGCCGCCGCTGCTGATGTTGTTGGGCTTATCAACACGCCGATCACCTGCGACAGTTTCCGTTTTGCCTCAGATACTGGGCCATATACACAGGACCTAATTGCCCCGCACCCAGTTACAGTTGCCAGTTACCAGTTACCATTTCGGTTCCATTCCCACAAGCGAACGAACGAGCCCTCGACCCAAACCCCCGCTCAAGGTGAGCAATGTAAAAACTTCCTGTGCACTCATTTAGTCCTGCTGAGCTGTTGTCCTTTATGTAAGCAGCAGCAACATCAGCGACGGCGACAGCAACAGCGACAACAGCAACAGCGACAACAGCAGCAACACCGGAGCAACACGCCCCTTTCACCCGAACAATACACAAACCTGAAGCGAAAGGAAAAAAACGGATATAGAAATTCAATACTTTGATTCGTGCCACAAGCAGAGCGAAGGAAGTGCAACCATACAAGGTAACCAAATAGCAGGACAACACGTACTACAAGCACTTGTTGGGAGACTCAATGTACACTGGGAAAATAAGGTAGGGGGTACTTTTCTGGAATTCATTAAACTTTTAAAATGGTTAAAATTTTAAGCCACTTTTTAAACGGATTAATATTGGTATAGCTATACTTACGGAATCAGGCAATGCAACCTGAAATATCAACCTCGAGGAAAGGACAGACATCAATTTAATTATTGTATTAACAACACATACTCATACATTTTTTACAGTGCAGGATTCGGGGCGGCAGGACGGCTGCTTACCGAGCAACAAGATTTCCCAACTGCAATGGCAGCTTTTGGGCAACATTGCTGCATTATACTTAGTGGTTTCCACTTGATTGATGCCATCTGTTAGCTACCCACCCAAAAAAGAAAAAAAGTGGCGGGAAAGTTCCACCGCCCAACTAACGATCGACAGAAATACAAATGTAATTGCCGAGCAAGTTACGTAGGAGTACTGCTAATAACAACATCACGCAACGCTCGCCGGCGTGGGAAAGTAGGACCGACTTACGGTTGGCTAATTACCGACATATAGATATCCTGCGAGTGTAACTATTAACAGTCGGCAGGCACTCGCATCCGGTTTTTGAGGGGCGAGGCGGCCGAAGGACTCTGGGAAAGCTCTACTCCTACACTCCACTCACATGTCTGCCAATTATAAGCAACTAAACCGCAGATAAGAGCGGATGCTGAGGCTGCGGCCGAGACCATATATCCCTGGCCCGCAAACCAGACAAACCCCAACGCATCCCCATCTCGCCGGATTCCAAAACCGAACCCAAACCCAAGCCTGAAAGCCAGAACCCGTCCTCATCCTCGTCTTCATCCTCATCCTCCCAGGGATGTGCTGTCAAAGCGACGTGACTAAGTGGTGAAAAATGATTTCGTGGCTACGTGTGACTCTCTCCGAGGGAAAAGAGCGGGCGTTAAGCGTTCACGGCTTCCTCCTGGAGAAGTCCTGCAGATATCCTGGGAGAACTGAACTGGGGAACCCGAGTAGCAGCCACAGCCATCGAGAGGGTCACTTGACGAGATACCTCCAGGGGGGTGAAATAATGCCGGAAAATGGTTGGGGTTAAGAGGTGGGCTTCATGGAGAATGGGATATGGGAAATGGGGTATGGGAAATGGGGAGTGGGAACTGCGAACTGGGAACTGAATGCATGTGCTGGAAGTGTTGTGCAATCGTCAAAGGATCAACACATTCGCTTTGCCTGAAGATGAGGTCGGTTCGTGAGGGAAATTTATCAAGACTTCACGGGCAACATCCGCCTCAAAGGGCTGAAGGGGCTAAGGGAGGGAACTTGGAAGATACCAGTAAAAACTTCAAAGAAAAGAAAGGATACCAATACCAATGAAACAATAGGTAAACCCATTCTCAGTAAGTGTGTGAACTATCTTTAAATACTCCCCTTTTAATTGAGAATAAATTGAATTTCTAATTAGTAAATTGATACATCGACAACCGTTTAAGTAATTTATCCAGTCTCCTTCAGAAACGCTTATTTGGATCTGCATTTTGTATTATTCATCCTTCCTTCAGCGCACGGTTTCTTTCACTCTTCTCTCAGTGCCACCATCTGTGCTTTCTATCCGAGGCGGAAAGATTCCTTAGCGCATCTGTCGCCAATTCAAGGAGAGCTTCCTTTATCCCGGCCAGGAAAATAGAAAATACCGCTGTCCTTCGTTCGCCGCCCTCCTGTTGCGTGTCACGCTGTCGTCGCTGGCATCTTCACGCCCCCAAGGACCAAGCCTCGCATCCTTTTGCACCTCCATCTGCATCAGCATCTCCATCGCCTGCATCCTTCCTCCTTTCTTCTGTCTCCCAGCTACTCGGTCCTTTCTCCTGGCAGTCTGGGCGTCGTTGTCTTGCTGCCAAGTAGCACTCAAAGTGAGTTTGCGACGCATTGCCGCATTGTCGCTACTTCATCAGCAGCTACAGCCGAAGCTAAAGCCAGAGCCATAGAGCTGCGGCATCAAGTGCAAGTATCCATGTCCTGGCTGCACTTGTGCAGCGTCTCCTTCGTCATCACCACCCCCCCCCCTTTCCACCTCCACCCCCGCCCTTTCCATCTGCGCCACTTCCCCACCGTCCACCCCCTCGTGCAATGCAGAATGTTGCCAGTTGGCAACTGAGCGTCCGCAGGAAATGAATACGTGTTGAATATTTGTCGAGTTGAAGCACAAGGACATGGAGGATAACAAAAAGGATGGGCCGCCATCGCATCCACTCTCCGCCCCCTAAGCATCTACATGGCAAACAAGCACGCTCGCACATACATGTATGTACGTACAGCCAGGGTCGAAATAATGACTCTATCTACTGAACAGTATAAAATATTTAAGCAGATTGATGGTCTTTTGCTGTAATAAATACAAATAAGCAAGCATTTTCTTACAAAACATCTACTATTTATTAAACAGTGTTTAAGTTTAGTAAAGATATATCCTAATTAATATTTATATTTAAATGGATCTAAACAAAGGAAGGTAACACCTTGAATTTAATGTAAAGTTCTATTCGCTTGCCCCCAACTGCACTGGTTTGGCACGGAGTGTATCCATCTACGTGGATGAGCTCCATGTGTCGCTTAGCCTTGCTGGCCGGGCTAATGCGCAAACCAAATATGATATACTATACGGGAATGTATATGCTGCGGATATATGTGCGGCGCAGCATCTGCCACAGATTTGCAAGCGTTTCACAAATAGCAACAACAGCAACAACAGCAACAGCAGCGGCAACAACATCAGCATCCCATCAGCAACAAGCTGCAAGGACCAAAACGCCAGCTGCTGCAAATGGCACGCATGAAAATGAAAGGCCCATCGAATGGGCGCGTTCATTGAGAATTTATTTCAATAAGAGAAACGAGGGAAAAGATGAAAAAAAAAAAAATACAGGAGGGGGAGTACGTGGAATGGAGAACAGGGGCATAAGGTATCTTGAAAGGCATCACTAAAGGCCATCGGAAACTATAATCACGTATGTACATATGTCTCGGGCAACACGAGTCTGCCAGGATATCAGCGCTAAGTGCTCTTGTTGCATGCTGCACAAGTAATTAAGATTAGTGACTCAATATGCACACAAAAACACACACGTTAATATACGTGTGTGTACGAGTGTGTAGGTGTGTGCGTCCAAAGACAGGATTCCTCAGACAAACAACTTAACTTGTTCTATGCCATCCTGCTTGCTTTGTTTTAGCTGCACTCTGCAAAAATATAACAGGATGTTCGTGACATCCTCCAAGCTTAAAGCATCTTAAAGGAATGTGGAAAGACTACGGGACAACAGACCCTGAAATTTAAGTTAGAACTGATTTCTTAAAGGGATTGAATTAGTTTCTCAAGTAAATTGATAATAACACAATATATGAAACGCTTATTATTTGTTGTTGTTTTGGTGGGATAGCTAAAACTACTTATGTTCAGTGTACAGAACTCAAAGCTTTAATTCCTATCTCCTCTAAGTAATGTGTATCTTCGCATGGTTTCTCTGGCACTCGGAATTACCAATTTACACAGCACAGATTTGCCGAAAGCAGCTTCCTTTTGTGCGAGTGAGTGTTGGCTCGGTAATTCCCACAAATTGAAGAATCAACTCGGTTCCTTGATTGATGCCTAACCCTCGCCAGTTTTGACTTCTCAGGGGTTCTAATTGAATCAACTGCTGCAAAAGGAAAACGAAGCCTCGGATATTCAAAGTATTTCCAAAGCGGCTGCATTCTGAAAGCCATTAGTTTATGGATGGCAAACAAAACAAATGCCAGAGGGCGCTAACCCAAGCCCGATCCCAGTCCCAATCCCAATGCCAATCCCTATCCCGATCCCCTTCCCTAAACGAGTCCTTATCCCGAAGACCCAAAGTGAAATTCAAGATCTGGGCGCAGCAGAAACCAGAACCTAGAGCCTGGAACTCAGAGCCTGGAACCTCGACGGGGTCAGGAATCAGCTGCTGTTGCATCTATGCAGAGGAAAATGGAAAATGGAAAATGAAATAATGCCAATGTGGACAGCTGTCGGAAAATTGTTGAAAGGCGACTGAAAAGCGGTCTTTGCTCTCTGTATGGGGTTCGGTTTGCCCTTGGGCTGTTTTTTACAGGGTTTTTGGTTCTGGCATCAACAATCGTCATTATCATGCTGAATGCTATTTCTGCACTGTAAGAAAACTAGCTTTTAACTTTAAAAATATATTCATTAAAGGTTTCTTTTTATGAATCTATGAATACCAATGTGTGTTTGCGATTATTGAAGTTCATAATAGCATGAACATAATTTATGTGATAGGAATAAAAGACTTTCCAAGCTAAAAACTTATTTATTTTACTACACTTTCTTTATTTATCATATTAAAATCAATTGACTTAATTTCTTCTCCGTGAATATCGATTTTGCTCAGTGTGTGTTTATGTAGATCATCGACTGATGTCCCGTCTGCAGATCGCTGGGCGAGTCCTTGTCCTTTTTTTTTGTTTTGCCAGCCTTTCGCTACCTGGACCGCACCTCAACTTTCTGGCCAGGGTTCGTGCCCTGCCCCTTCCCCTTCCATTTGATTTCCTCGGTCGTGAGGAAGGAGGAGAGGTCTTTGAACTCCGGGACTCGTCTAACGATTTGTGGGTTTCATTCGCTTTGTTTTCCTACTGCAACAGCTGCCAATTTTGCTGGAAAGAGAGAGGGAATCCCTATCCCTATAACGATCCCAGTGAGATTTCCCCCCACTCCGAATCGCATTCCC